TTACATGTATCCATGCTTAGGCACAGGGTTGTTCTGTGAGGTATCAACAGCTTTTCGAATTGTTCGATTTTGTAAGTAAAACCTGCCCATGTTTTCCTGAGGAAGGAAAAGTAAATGTAGAGACATGGGAGAAGGTAGGAAAACAACTTAGAGATCGTTATATAGTTGAAGGTCCAGGGAAAATTCCTCTCTCTACTTTCAGTCTGTGGTCCCTGATTCGGGACTGCCTAGAGCCCACTCCTGAAAGGGAATGGATGAATGTGGCCGGGAACTAAGATGGAGAGTGGAAGGTTACCATAAGCTTAATATTGTTGCAAAGGTTTGCCTCTTACCTGGAGACTACTTATTACGGAAATATTTTATTCATGGTTGTGCTGACATTGGACCAGCCTATGTTCAAGGAGCAGTACTAGCTGCCTCATTAAAGGAGATGTTGTTCACTGGTCAGCAGAAAAGGAAAGGGGGCTGCTTTAACTGTGGCAAACTAGGGCATTTTGCTAGAGGAAAGCATTGGGCAAATGAATGCTGCTCCAAGACTGATGATGATAATCCAATGCCCCCTAGGCAGGGAAACTTCAAGCAGGGCCCTGGCCCCACCAAACAGTAGGGGCCTTATCCTTAACCCCACTGCAGCCTTTCCAGTTGGCTCAGTAAACCTTTATCATTCCACCCCGGGAAGCGCAGGATTGGCAAGTTCTTCCTGGGGTGACAGATCAGGACTCAGGCAATAATGAAAAGCACCAATCCTATTCTTAAAATGCAACTATGAAAACAAAACAAAAAAAAGGGGGGAGAAGGATGTTATGTGTTAAACTTTTTGAACTGCAATGCAGAGGGTTGTCCAGCAGCTGAAAGGCATCAGGCCTCCTGTACAATAGCCTCTGCAGGGTTAGCCCAGTGGAAGGATGCACAAACCAGATAAGAGTTTTACCAGATCTAGTAATGATGTGGGGAAGAGGTTGTGTTTTTTATCTTTCCAGAAGGAGCAATGCAGCCAATTTGGGTGCCAGAGCGTTACATGCGTCACCACAATGGACCCAGAGAAGCTCCTTGTCCCTTCGTTCAAAAGACTGAGAGTTGCCCCGATGACAGCAAAGCGGAAAAAAGAAGAAAAGGAAGGCTACGCAAGGGTCCGAGGTGCCAACATGGGGTCAGCTGAATAAGTTAACAACTGAGGCCCAGCAGATGGTAGAAAAGCAAGGAGTGGAAGCTATTCCCTCAACCACGTTTCTGGCTGTGCTAGCATTGGTTAGCTGACAGTCTTCTGTAAAGTCTTGCGCAGCCAAGTCCAAGGACTCTGAGTAAATCAGCAAAAGAAACTTTCATTTAGTAGAAAAATGTTACTCTAGTTTGATTTCTCACTTATTGCTGTGTTGCACTGGCATTGTTTTGTTATTCTTACTAGTTTTAAAATGTTAACACATTGGCATTGTTTTGTTAATAGCCAGAGTTTTGTTCTTGATGCTTAAGTTTTACTTTCATTATAGTAGCTTAAAAATAAAAAGATGCCGAAACCGGTTTGGCTCAGTGGATAGAGCGTCGGCCTGCGGACTGAAGGGTCCCGGGTTCGATTCCGGTCAAGGGCATGTACCTGGGTTGCAGGCACATCCCCAGTGGGAGGTGTGCAGGAGGCAGCTGATCGATGTTTCTCTCCCATCGATGTTTCTAACTCTCTATCTCTCTCCCTTCCTCTCTGTAAAAAATCAATAAAATATATTAAAAAAAAAAAAAAAAGAGTGAGATGTAGGTGACGGCTATAGGGTTAAGCCTTGAACTGACCTGTTGGCAAAGCCACAAACAAGTCCCAGCTTACAGGGCACAGTCCTCTTAGCATAATTAGGCTTGACCTTATGATGCTCCCTAGATCTTACCTGGGAAGCTAATGGGCTGAGAGAGATGTAGCAAGTGCTGCCAAAACAAGTGAAACTCACGATAACATTCTAACTATGGTGACCACTACCTTGTTTACCTCTGGCTATAAAATAAAGGCTCAGTGTGCTGTCTGGATCTCTCTCTGTGGCCTCAACCAGGCACAGGAGATCCACCTAGACCCAGTTTATTCTCTCTGTCTGTCTTTTCTACATCCTTCGCCGCCCGCCCCACAGGCTCACCGAACCCTTGGCTGTGCTGGCATGGCACAAGTAAGCACACTACTATCTAAGGACTATTGTACTTGCTGTCCCCTCTGCCTAAAATGCTATTTCCCCAGCTGCCTCACCTCTCATCTTTCAGATCTTCACTCAAATGTCACTTTATAAGCAAGGCCTTCCCTGGGCCTATCTAAAATTGCAGCTGCTCTCCCTTCCTACACACACTCCTAATCCCCTTCCTTGCTTTACCTTTCTTATGATCACTATCTAATATGCTAAATGATTCATTTTTTAACTTACTACCTGTCTCCTCCACTAGAAAGAAAGCTCTATACCAGTGATGGCGAACCTTTTGAGCTCGGCGTGTCAGCATTTTGAAAAACCCTAACTTAACTCTGATGCTGTGTTACATATAGAAATTTTTGATATTTGCAACCATAGTAAAACAAAGATTTATATTTTTGATATTTATTTTATATACTTAAATGCCATTTAACAAAGAAAAATCAACCAAAAAAATGAGTTCGCGTGTCACCTCTGACATGCATGTCATAGGTTCGCCATCACTGCTCTATATGGACAGGGGTCTCTGCCTGTTTTGTTCTCCACGGTTACCGCAACATCTAAATCAGAGCCTGGCCTATAAGAGATCCTGAGTAATTATTTATTCACTAAGTCAATCATTCTTAAAGATTAAGCAAGTAATTTGCATGTATTGATTGGTATATGATAAAGTGTGAGACACTCAATGAACAGAACCAATGAGGCAGGTATTACTACCTCTGTTCTACATGACAAAACTGAAATTGCCCTAGGTCACATAACTGAAAAAGAGAAACTCTGTGGAGCTTAAACCTCAACTCTGGTTCAAGTCCTTACCGTTTTTAACTGCATCATACTATCTGGCACATCAAACCTAATTGTGTATGTATATAATAAATGTCTCTCTCTGCACCTTCTTCACAAATAAACAGGTTTTGGCAAGAGATGATACAGCCAACTGGTTCAGCAGATGCTCTGGGTTACTTAGACCAAAGTTCAAATTCTGCTCAAACACTTGCTAAGAGTATCTATACTAATAAAAGGGTAATATGCTAATTAGGGCAGACATCTTCCAGACGTCCTTCCAGACAAAGCCACAGTGGCTGCGAGGGCCAAGGCTCAGGCTGGCAGTGGCAGCAGCAGTGGGGTAATGGGGATGGCACTTTCCCCTGATGCACCAGGATGCCTCCCACAGAGGGAGGCCAGATTGAGGCTTAGGCCAGGCCAAGGCAGAGGTGGTTAGAGGCGATCAGGCGATCAGGCCATCAGGCAAGGTGGGGGCGATCAGGCCAGCAGGGGGGAAAGGTAAAGGCGATCAGGCCAGCAGGGAGGCAAGGTAGGGGTGATCAGGCCGGCACCGGGGCAAGGTAGGGGCGATGAGGCCAGGAGGCAGAGGGAGTTAGAGTTGATCAGGCAGGCAGGCAGAGGGGTTAGGGGCAATCAGGCAGGCAGGCGGGCAGGCAAGCGGTTAGGAGCCAGTGGTCCCGGATTGGGAGAGGGATGTCTGACTGCTGGTTTAGGCCCGATCCCTGTAAACTGGCAGTCAAACACCCTGAAGGGTCCCAGATTGGAGAGGGTGCAAGCCCGGCTGAGGGAGCCCCCCCCCCCCCCCCAACACACACACACACGAATTTTGTGCACCGGGTCTCTAGCCACTCTATAAACCACTTGTCCTTCCCATGTTGTCTTCTCTTCGGTAAAACAAGGATAGTAATAGAGCTTAACTCTCTAAATAGTTGTGATATTTGAATAATATTCAGGAAACTTTAGATAGTCTCTGAGACAATGCAAATTTCCTTCAATTCTCACAACTTTCAAAAATTCCTACAGAATACCAATGCAACTGTTGGAAAAAATATTTTTTAAAAACACATTTGATATCATATTTCAGCTCTTGTACAGAAAATTACCAAAAAGCACCCCTGTTAAATAATAATAACTATCACTTTGATGGGCATATATTATGTACCTCATTTAATCCCACACTGACTCTATAAAAAAGTTAATACCATTCCTATGAAGATAAGAAAACAAAGTTTCAGAATGGTTAGGCAAATTTCCCAAGGTCATACACAGGGTGGGGCAAAAATGGGTTTCAGTTGTTCTTATGGAAGATGATACAATAATTAATACATAGTCCTGACCGGGTAACTCCCCCGTACCCCTTACCTCCATACATCAAGGATGTGGGTTGGGTCCCCTCTTAGGGCACATACAAGACTCAACCAATGAATGTATAAATAAATGGAACAACAAATCGATGTCCCTCTCTCTCTAAAAATCAATAAATAAAAATTAAAAAACAAAAATAATAATACAAGAATAAACTTGTTTTGCGTGCTCACAACAGTAAACCTACTTTTGCCCCACCCTGTAGTTTGCTAATATTTAGCGCCTTGGAGTCTGACTCCAAAGCCCAAAGCTCAACAAGCCGCAGGGTCTTCGGGTCTTTAAAAATACAAAGTCGCCCTGACCGGTTTGGCTCAGTGGATAGAGCATCGGCCTGCGGACTGAAGGGTCTCGGGTTCGATTCCGGTCAAGGGCATGTACCTTGGTTGCGGGCAGGTCCCCAGTGGGGAGTGTGCAGGAGGCAGCTGATCAATGTTTCTCTCTCATCGATGTTTCTAACTCTCTATTCCTCTCCCTCCCTCTCTGTAAAAAATCAATAAAATATATAAAAAATAAAAATTAAAAAAAAAATAAAAATACAAAGTGAAGAATCACTGTATTCCCCTCAGGAGAGAGCAGCATTACTATGAACTGTGAGCTGAAAGGTGGGAAACAGCTTAAAAAAAAAAAAATACACACGAACACACTTTCGAACACTCATTACAAGCCCGGCACTGCATTGGCCGGTCGCGTGCTTGATCGGATTTAATCCTCCTGAGACAGGAGGGCTGCTCCCCTTTCCCAGGTGGGAAAACTGAGTGTAAGCGGCCGAGCTGAGTAACTTTCTCAACATCATCAGGTGGGAAGCGATCCGGCCAGAACTCGGCCCCGCCAGGTGTGTGGGTCCCGAGCCCCAGCCTTCCCTTGACCACCCAACTCTGCCCAAGGTGAAAGGGCTAGGGGGCGGTCCCGCTCTCCGGGCCTGGACGGGGGCCGAAGTCTCCGGCACTGGTCCGAACGGCGGCCGCCCCCTGCGAGGCCCCCGGGCGGGTCTGGGCTGCCCGGCCGGAGCGCAGCGTCCCAACTCCGGCCCGCGATTCCCGCCCAGCGACCCCCACTCACGATGAGCCCGTGGCGGCTGGGGTTGTTGTACTGGAGCAGGTACTCCCTTTTAAGCCGGGATCTTATGGCCAGCCGCTCGGCTTGCGCCTTCCGGGCTTCCGGAGATATGTCATATTCGGCGGGGTCAAGGGTAGGGGGCAAAGTGGCCAGGCGCGCCGGCTTGTACTTAGGGTTCGACATCTTGGGACCCTGGCGCGCAACTGCGCCTGCGCGGCCCCTGTCTTTCGCCTGACCTTACGCCTGCGGAAGTGCGCCTGCGCATCAGCCGGAGGTGGCGTTTAGCGAGGAGTTCGGCTTCCTCCCTCGCCGTCCTGGCCCGCTATAGCGATCTGCGCGTGCGCAGTGCTTTCGTCACCTAATGACCCCGCCTCCACTCCCCTCCTCTACCCTTCTGCCCTTTCTATCTGTCGCTTGCTGGTTCTTTCTAGCAGCCTTCTCTCCTGACCTGACAGACCTTATTATGCGACGCTGAGCTGTGTGGGACTGGCCCCAACAGGAAATGGGACTGGGTGTGAAGTCCTGCTTCAATGTGGACCCAATCCAAGCAAGCTGTGTGACCTTGAGGGTTAAATGAGATAATGAATAGATGCCAAAGTGCTTTGCAGAATTTAATGACCTAACCAAAGGACAATAAGCTTTTCTCTACGTTGCGACATTAGATCCATATAACATAGAAGAGCATTCTTCATAGGCACGAAATAATTTTAGTAGGAGAATGATGTTACAAGAGAAGTGTCGCCTGTCTGACTACAGTAGGCAGGCAAAAACTGAATAAAGCTCGTGAAGAAACAATGATGGTTAAAATACTAACACCTCGTACCTAAAATCCTTAGCACTGTTCGGGTGCTAAGAATGAGAAACACCCTTAGAGATATGAAAATATGCATTAGGGCATTGTATCTTACTGGGAAAGATGATTTAGAGAGAAGAAACCTAAAAGAAAGCCGTCTCCATCCCTATTGTCTTTCTCCCGCCCCTACTATGGAAGGGGAAAAAACACTTTCAGAAAGCATGGCAGAATCTGTAGGTACCAATCAGGTATTCCTCAGGGGAAAACATGTAAATAGTGTTTCCATAACTCAGGCAAGGAACGCTGGATCAAAAGAGAGCTTCCGCTTGGATGTACTGTCTGGGGACATGCAGGTATGCGGGGAAAATGGTTGCTAGGCAGAGAAGGGACCTAGAAAGTGCTGGCACTTGAAGTGATGAAGAGCAGCATTGCTGTCAAATTTATTCAACATTTTAATACTGTTTTAAAATATTTATTAAGCCCCCTCGGCGTGAAGCATACTGCACGCTAGTCAATCTCCTAGGCTCAGTGGGGGAAATACAGAAGAAATGAAGGATGTGATGTTTGTCTTTGAGGAGCTGACAATCAGGTAGTAGAGAAAGAACAGACAGAATATGGTAATGTTTGCAAGACAGTTTAATGTCCAAATGATTAGAGAGCAAAATGGGCTCCTGAGAATGCAGGCTAGGGGAATGCAGAAAAAAAGGAATTTGAGACAAATCACTTACACTCAACTTTAAAGGACAAAAGAGAAGTTCTGTTTTTTTCAAAGGTGTTTTCAAATACTAAAAATAAAATGAAAAGCAGGAGCAGGTTGTAAATTCTAAAAAAGGCTACATTAATAAAATTTCAAAAAAAACATCTGTTTATAGATTAGACACTGATCTAGGAAGAAGGGCATGTCAAAAGAATGAAAGAAAAAAGAAAGGAGTGCAATGAGTATAAGCCAGCTGACAAAGTAAAAAACGACCTTTAAGGTTTAGAGAGAGGGAGACAGCGAGAAAATAAACATCATTTTGCTTTAAATTAAGGTGGTTATTTCCACATTTGCTTAATTATCATAAGGATCTCTTAAGATGTTAAAAATATGGAATCCTAGGTTGCTTTTTGCTCTTGGAAATTCAGATATGGTCTGGCAGGGGAACCCAGGAGTCTGTATTATTTTACAATTTCCTGGGGGGATTCTAACAATATTGCGAGTTTGAGAAACATAGAAATGGGTATAAGGGGTCTTCTTTCTATCTTCCTTTTCCCAGAAAAGGCACTCTTAGAGAGAATCTATTGAAGATGGAGACCTAGATTCCAGAATGAAAGAAAAAGACTTGATTGGGATGTTACCGTGCAATAATGCAACCAAAAAATTATGAAAATGAATTAATCTTTTTTTCTTTATTGATTAAGGTATTACATATGTGTCTTTATCCCCCCATTGCCCCCCCCCCATCCCCCTACTCATGCCCTCATCCCCCTGGTGTCTGTGTCCATTGGTTAGGCTTATATGCATGCATACAAGTCCTTTGGAATTAATTTTATATTTAACACATTTTAAGTTACAATTACAACTGTATGCTAAGCTCATTATTCTTTATTTTGCGTTTGATTTTTGCAGTAGAGTCATATTTTTATAAGTTTTGAAGGGCTTTATCCAGTTTTCACAAGGCCCTCTCTTAATCCTTTAAAATGAAATTATTTCCTTTACAAGCATTGGTGTAATTATCATTCTTATTGATTTTTCCACCCCCATTTGTTATCTGGTCTGACTCTGTGAGATTCTCCTTTATTAGTGACTTTGCATGTAGATCCAGTAGTTCACCAACATTACTTTCATCAATTGCATGAACTTTCACATCTTTTGCAAGATTTGTAATATACTTACTTGTATGGTATTTGAGGGCTGGATATTTTTAAATGGATGACCAAGACTTTGATAGAGGTTGGTGTAGGCAGTAGGGTTAGTAGATGGAATAGTTTAAGTGGGCAGTCATTTTACAAGTGGTCATTACATCAATGAATATTTCATGTTTTGAAGACTCTTACTTCTCTAAGAAATCTCCGAATAGAATTTATCAGAATTTATTGGAACATGGGTTAGAAAGACTAAGTATATTTACCTGCATTTGGCTGGGAGGGGGGAAGGTATTGGGGGAGGAGAGAAGAGCAGATGTGCAGGGGTGGTCAAGCTATGTGAGTGGGGCAGAGTTTCAGGGAACAGAGATGGACAGGTGAGTGCAGAAACTGTAAAAAGCAGGCAAGTTCCAGCTTGCAACAATATGAAGGGCATTTCTTTTTTTAATTGGTAAGATCATAGGTAAATTTGTGAATAAACTCCTAACTTTGGGTTGAGAACATGTAAATGCCAAAATTGTATCAAGTTAAGAAAATTCCCTTATATTCCCTTCCAAAAGTTTTTTTTTTTAAATCATGAATGAGAGATAATTGATCAAATGCTATTTTTACATTTTTGATCTGTCATCACATGTTTTTTTCTCTGCTAATATGATAAAAAAAAAAAAGATGGAAAACCTTGTTAAGTTGTTCTGATGTGGAGTCATTTCACATTCTAGAATTAACTCTACTTTATGGTCACAGTATGTTTTTTAATATACTAATGAATTAAATATATTAGCATTTTATTTAAAACTTTATCATTTAATATCATAGGTGAATAGACTCTACAACTTTCTTTTTCTTATTTTGTTCTTGTATAGTTTGGGTAATACATTTACATGAAATAAGTAGGATAGATCTTCTTTTTTTCCCCCTCAAACTCTCCAAAACAGTTTGTAGAAAACAGGGACTATAGTCTTTGAAGGCTTGGTAAATTATCTTATAAAATTATCTGGGTCTTCCATCTTTTTTCAGGAGAAACTTTTGGCTATCAATTCAATTTCTGTTATAGTTGTTGATTTGTTCAGATTTTCTATTTCATCTGGAGTTAATATTGGTAATGTACATTTTCTAAAACATCTTGTTTATAACTTATTGCCATAGAGTTTCTCATCTCATCTTATGATATTTTCTATATCTATTGTCTTCATAATGATGGTCCTCTTTTTTGCCTAATATTGTTTATTTGTTGCTTCATTTTATTTTCATTCTACTCAAGTTTTGTCTACCTTGTTTTTTCAGAAAATCTATTTTTGTTTTGTTAATCATCTCTAATCAATCATTTGTCCTCTTATATTTACTCTATTTTTCTTGGGATTGCTCTCATGTTCTTTTTTAGCTTCTTAAGCAGAATGCTTATCATTCATTTTTGTTTTATAAGTATTTATGGATATAATTCTGCACATTTCACTTTAGCTACATCTCCACAAGTTTTTATTAATACTAGGGGCCCGGTGCACGAAATTCGTGCACTGGGGGGGGGGGGCCCTCAGCCCAGCCTGCCCCCTCTCACATACTGGGAGCCCTCAGGGGATGTCCTATTGACAGCTTAGGCCCACTCCCTGCTCCCCTTGGGGAGTGGGCCTAAGCCGCAGTCTGGTCTCCCTTTGTGGGAGCTGACCGGGCTGATCAGGGGAAGGAACCAGCCCTATAACCCCGCTGCTGCAGCTACTGCTAGTCACCGCAGCCAGCAAGGTTTTTTCATCAACACGGACTCCAGTCCCGTCACCGTGAAAAAATGACAACATTTTTTAGGCATTTTCAAGATGTGTCTTTCATATAATAATAATTTCTTTATTATTTTTTTATCCTCACCTGAGGATATGTTTCCATTGATTTTTAGAGAATGTGAAAGAGAAAGGGAAAGGCAGAGAGAAACATCAAAATAAGAGAAACACTTTGATTGGTTGCCTCCTGCATGAGCCCTGACCTGGGCCCCGGCCAGGGAGGAGCCTGCAACCTAGGTACATGCCCTTGGTCAGAATTGAACCCAGACCCTGCCATCAGCAGGCCAAGGCATTATCCACTGAGCCAAACTGGCTAGGGCAGGATATGACATTTCTTAGCCCTCCAGCAGCAGACCTTCGTTTTTTTCA